TGCGTCACCGCATATGCAATCCTGTTCACGCCCTCCGCAGCACGCGGCGACGTTGGGCCTGGAGACATGGTTTGCACGTGGAAGTGGAAGCCGGCGGGGGGGGGTTTGAAGATGGCCCAGATGAGTGGCGAACATGCGTTGCATGGGCACAAACTGGTGTTCTTGCAACAACAGCAAATGCAGCACAAACGCATGCACGCACGCACGCACACACACACACACACACATGCGCGCACGCACGCACATAGGCGGACGTACGAATAAAGTTGTAGGAGATGAGCTTGTGCAAGGAGTTGAGGGCAACGCTGGTGATTGTGCCTGTGGCCACGCCCGACCAGATGACCTCCAAGAAGGGGCTGACGAGCGTGTCAATTTGGATGCCATCGCCTGCAACATATGGTGGGTAGAAGACGACGGATGTCAACTCACGTGGCAGTCGGGGCCACGCCATGCAAATGGTCGCCATGGCACGGAAAGAGCAAGCCGTGGAGAAAGAACAAGGAGGGGGCAGCGGGAACGGGAAGGGGTCCAACAGACAAGATGAAGAGCACAAGCTGCGGCAGGCAGCAAAGCACACAGAAGCAGATGCTTCAACAGTTTGGATGCTCAGACAACACGACGGAAATGGCCACCATGGGGGTGAGGGGAACGCAAAGCAATGCACAGCACCTCGTCGCACGAGCGTCTCCCGAAGAATGGTGAAGCCACGCACAAGCGGGTCGTTCTGCTGCGTTGGCACAACAGAACACGAATGACATGACACCGCGAATTGTCCAACGACAGATGCAACCCAATACCGTGCGTGAGTTTGTGTTTTCAGCCGCTCAACAGCACACATGCAGGGCTTCAGCTGCCACACATCCCCAAAACCACATGCATCCACACACACACACACACACGCACACACGCACACACACACACGCACACACACACACATATGGGCGCAAATTTGCATGCATCCTTGTTGTCGGCATCAATTGCGTTCACGCAAACCACATGCACGCACCGATTCGCGGGTGTGGGAAGCCCAACGGACGTTGGAGCGAAGCGCAGCCAGGACCGCCGAGGCTTCGCCCTCAGACACGCGCTGGATCTCCCCCACCATCACCCATCCACCCACGCTCTCGTGACGTGTTTCAAAAGGAAGTCCGAAGCGCACACAAGCAAGCAAGCAAGCAAGCAAGCAGACGTCTGCCCGGTCTGGCGTCTGTCGATGTCGTGCGTGCCTCCTCTTTCCTTTCCTTCTTGCTCTTCTTCTTTGCACTTGTCAGCAACCCACCGCACACAGCACGACCAACGACAAGCGAAACTGCTGATCTGACGGCTCTGCCAACGATGCAGAACAAAAAACGAAAAAGGTGCAAGGAACAGCATTTGCTGATTCAATGTCAGATTAGCGAAACAGTTGCCACACAACTGCTGCAGTAGTTGGGTTTGATGCATTATTAACCACCACCATCAGGCGCGCAAACCGACGAAACTGGCAGAGAGGGCGCCAGCCAGCACTCACGCCCTCACATCCACACGCACGACGAACCACACGACGAACCACACGACGAACCACACGACGAACCACGCACGACGACAATAAGACAGGGAGCCAGGACCAATGGAGGGCTTCTCGCTGTACGGCGGTGGTGCAGGTAGCAATGGCGGGAACCACGGTGGCGGAATTGCAGGCCTTCGCGGCAACAGTGGAAGTGGACTTGGCAGCAACGGGAACCATAGTGGGCGCGCAGGCACTGGCCCCGGCGTGAATGGCGTGCCACCAACTCAGCCGTCCGCACTGGGTGGGTTCCCCATGGCACACCACCTCCCTCTGCATCACCACCAGCACCACCAGCACCAGCCACAGCAGCAACAGCAGCAAGTGCCCATGGCTGCGCACCCCGTGCACCAGCACGCTGCAGCTCAAATCCCGTTTGTGTCGCCATTCTTTGCTGCAGCACAACAACAAGTGCCGCGGGGCATGCCTCCTGGCATGGTCATGCCACAACACCCGTTTATGCACCAGCACCAGCTGTTTGATGCGCAGTTACAGCAGCACCAACAACGCCAGCGCCAGCAACAGCAGCAGCAGCAACAACAACAACAACAACAACAACAACAACAACAACAACAACAACAACAGCAGCAGCAGCAGCAGCAGCAGCAGCAGCAGCAGCAACCGCAACACTTGACAGCACAGCTGGCACTCAACGATCATCCACTGGTGTCATTCACGCTGCCATCCCACCCAGTATCATCATCATCGTCGTCGGCGTTCTTGCGCCCAAGCAGAACCCACAGTCACCGGGGCCATCGACAAGCTCGCCTCGCACGCAGCCAGCAGTCAACAGCCACGCGCACCCACGCTGTTCAGCGGGAGCAGCCATCTGCAAGCGTCAAGCTGCCCATGGCCAAGCTTGACCTGAAGGTGCACCGTGTCATCATCCCGGAGGCGTGGAAACAAGGCAAAGGCACCGCAGAGAAGAATCAAGGCAACCAGGAGAAGGCCAATGCCAGCGACGCCAGTGGCGAGGGTGTCAAGACACGATCGAGGGCGAAGGGGCACGGTGAAGCCACGAAGGAGAGCGACAGTGCGCGGGAGAAGGGCGACAGTGGTGATGAGGGCGCCTGTCGACAGGACCAGCAGCAGAGTTCCGACGCGACATCAACAGCAGCACGCAAGAAGCGACGTGTTGACGAGAGCGACTCCGAAGAGCCCGCAGCCAAGCAAAGCAAAGCTGGAGAGGCAGCCGAGGATGGGCTAGCTGCTGACGCCGGTAGTGGTGGTGGTGACGAGGAACAGCGTGTCGGCCATGAGGAGGAGGTGAAGGAGGAGGTGAAGGAGGAGGTGAAGGAGGAGGTGAAGGAGGAGAGGATGCAGGAAGAGGATGAGGAAAAGGAGGAGGAGGAAGAGGGCGCAAAGAAGGGGGAGGAGGAAGACAACGAGGTTGAGAAGGGTGATGGTGAAAGCGAGGTTGACAAGGATGCAGCGAAGGAGGAGAAGAAGACAGAAGTGAGCGCAGCAGAGACCAAGGACGAAGGCAAACACAGTGGCGAGAAGGATGCTCATGCAGCCTCAGCCTCAGCCACGTCCAAAACAACACCACCACCACCACAACAACAACAACTCAGAGAACGAAAACAAGACCAAGAGCCGGCGCGGATGAGCGATGTGAACCAACGGCTGCTGATGGCTTGCCGCGTCAACAACATCAACCTCACACTTCGCTTTCTTGAGCAGGTATCGAGCCATCGGGCGGTTTTGAAAGATGCGTGCGAGTGTGTGTGCATGGGAGAGGGGGGGGGGGTTGATAGAAGAATTGTGCGCGCGTTCTTGCTTGATGCACATGTGTGTATACACGTGTACGTACTAGTACGTGCGTGTGATTGCTGACATCATGTTGTTTGTGTATGTGCTTGTGTGTGTGTGTGTGTGTGTGTGTGTGTGTGTGTGTGTGTGTGTGTGTGTGTGTGTGTGTGTGTGTGTGTGTGTGTGTGTA